CTTTTTTGCTATATTTCCACAAGAGCTGGAGGAAAGACGTCTGTTCAACCGGCCATGGTAACTCCGCCCCCCTTTCCAAGGCATTTTAAGAAGGCCCAGGGAAGGAAGAGCAATGACCTGGAGCTCAGTGGAGCTATCCTCCCACTGGACTGCCCTCTGTCTCTATTGCCTGTCTGCAATCTCCTTTCTGCTTAAGGTTTTGCTTCCTTAAAACTGCTTGTTTTTACTTTCTACTCTAGAGGAGAGGTAGGCTTCTCTTTTTTGTTTAATAATAATAATAATAATAATTTTTTAGAAGTATTTTCTGAAGAAGAGGAAGGGAAGGAGAAAAAGAAGCTAAAAGGTTGTCTCTCTAACCCTCCAAACGCACATAGGAGCACCCCACCCACCATCCCTTAGGTCCTCAACTCCCAGTCAGTCCCACTAAATAAAAAGAATCTGGAAAATAAAAGAAAATAAAAATAAACTGTGATGCCCAATAGGGAAGGAGGAGCCGTGATTGGCTGCCACATGGTCCTTTTTCAGATGGGAATCAGTGATGGCTCGCTCCTTGCCGTCTTGGGCACCCGAATGAAAAAATACAGTGTTCCCTCGCTACTTCGCAGTTCACTTTTAGTAGACTCACTGTTTCACTTTTTTTAAATATATATATATATATATATATATATATATATATATATATATATATATTATAAAATACTTATGTTCTTTGGAGACCAGGGACCCTGGAAGTGCGGTGGCCTGAGTTGTGGCAGGGAAGGCTTGTCTCCCTGGCCTGCTGCTGCCTGCGTGGCTTCGGAGGCTCAGCTGGGGTCTGAGGAGGCCTGGGAGGCAGGCAGGCACCCTTGGGATGGGCTGGGAGGCAGGTAAGGAAGCGTGGATAAGAAATTAATATATAAAATAATGTATAAATATTAAAATTAATATGGCATCCCAACTTCACGGATTTTTACTTATTGTGGGTGGTCCTGGAAGGGAACACCTGCAATAAGTGAGGGAACACTGTAAGCTAAATGGTTGAAGGGTCCGGCTAAAAACAGATCCACACACAAGTCTAAATCTATACATATGCAGATACAGGGGCAGTAATTGTTTAATGTATAGAATTTAGCTTACCATGGATCCCTAGAGTGAATATCATTGGATACATCCAGAGCTTTGGTGTATCAACTTCTTCTTCCTGAAGCTGAATGTGAAGCAAATGCTGTTAACTCGGAGTGTAGCTATGGTCGGGGGAGTGGGTACTCCCACTTGATCATTTTCTTCACTTCTCAACTCTCTAGCATTGCAGTATCTTTAAATTTTAGTCAAGCATTCAGAACTAGAGTACAGGCATTCACAGAAAAGGAGCAGGGGAAAAATCCCCAAATAAGGCAAATACAGAAGACTTCTAGGTGTGAGTGATTTTTCAGTTTCTTCTCTTCAATGCTAGCAATTCAGGGACTGAGGGAAAATTGCGTTGGGGGGCAGAGTTCTCAATTGAAGAAGCAATGCTCTGATTTGGTTTCTCCCCACCACCTGTAACTTCCATCTCTATAAGACTCTTTGAGGCTTCTAATTATTCTGCAAGCTGGCTGTGAGATTAAACTTCTAAAGGACTGAAAAACAGGAAGGACTTCTTAAAATAATAATAAAAAGGAACTGTTGAGCTCAGTTTATTAGTAAATAAATATGCACTAATGTCACTACAGGTTAGACTATTGTCAATGAGATGCAAACACCACACAGGAAGGTTTTCTTTTTAATCCTTTAAATGCAAGAGTTTGTATATTTAGAAATGCACTTTCTTCCTTCTACCAAGGAGTGGAAACAAAATGTTAATCATCTACCCCTGTGTCCGACCCCAAAGCAGAGGCTTTGGTGGCTCCTTTCATCTGCAACTGCTATGCCTATGTGCTTGTGATTATGTTTGTGTGCAGAGATGTTTAGGCAAGCAAAGATCCCTAGAGAAAAAAAAATGGAGCTTCAATAAACACAACTAAAAAGTGCCTCTTTTTCCATTAGTTTCACACTCATTTCAGTAGCTTTAGTGTTGCAGATGCTAAAATACACATTCATCGGCAAAGTCTGCTGCTAAGGTTGGATCTACACTGTCCTATATCCCAGGATCTGATCCCAGATTATAGGGTTTGAACTGGGTTATATAAATCTACACTGCCAGATACTCTATCACAAGTGAGGTTGGCGGGGACGAGGAGCAGGGCCTTCTCAGTGGTGGCCCCTCACCTATGGAATTCACTCCCTGGGAAAATTAGATCAGCGACATCCCTCCTTTCCTTTAGAAGGAAATTAAAAACATGGATGTGGGACCAGGCGTTTGGGCAATCTGGCAGATAGATAATGCACAAGTGACAACCAGAATTGTTGGATTGGACAGTGTGGAATTTGAATTTACGGACTATGAGATGATAAACGTTGAGCACTAGATTGTTTTTAAGGATTGTGATATATAATGGATTGTTTTAATTGTCTTAACTGCCTAATTGTTTAATTACTGTTTATATGTTTTATTCTTTTACCTTGTTGTTGTGCCGGCATCGAATTGTGCCTTTTTGTAAGCCACCCTGAGTCCCCCCTCGGGGGTTGAGAAGGGCGGGGTAGAAGTGCGAGAAATAAATAAAATAAATACTAAATTCTGGGATCACATCCTGGGATATAGGGCAGTGTAGATTCAGCCTTTGGCACAGTTTGGTTTAGTTGTAAACAATAGATGCAATCTGCCAACAACCCCCAAAGCTAGTGTAATGTAATGGTTTGAGTGTTCGACAAGGCTTTTAAATTTTTTCCACTCAGGCTCTCTTTGGCGCAAGACATTTTTACATGACTCTGGGTATATGGGTGCATAATATATATAAAAATCAAACATTTACTCATAGCAAATCAGCATTTGTAAGCACTGATTTTTCTTTTTATGAGTACAGCTGAAGCATCTCCTGCAGATTTCACTGTAAATGCTGCACAATATATTCATGTAAATGTCTAAAATAGTCATTAGGTGGGTTCAGAAAAAAGTGACCCCAACACCCCATAGTTCAAGAAGCAGTGGGCTAGAACATTGGGAGGCCAGAATTCAAATTCTTGTTTGGCCAAGTAAACCCACATTGGGCAAGTCACACACTGAGGCAACCCCTCTATAAGCAAATTTTGTCATGAAAACCTTGCGTGTTCATTTTAGGCTCATCATACATCAGAAATTACTGGGGGCTCTTCCACACAACCCTATATCCCAGAATATCAAGGCAGAAAATCCCACAAAATCTGTTTTGAACTGGATTATCTGAGTCCACACTGCCATACATTCGAGTTCAAAGCAGATGATGTGGGATTTTCTGTCTTGATATTCTGGGTTATATAACTGTGTGGAAGGGCCCTAGAAGGTCCATAATAGCAAAAGCAACGATCACACCCTCTGCTGCTTTTTGCTCCCTTGTGAGCCAACAAGCCATTTTAGGATCCTAAGATGACCCCAACATGCAGTTTTCTTGGGGAGATTTGTTCTTTGCCTTCTTCTGAGGGAATGTAACTTGGCCAAGGCCACCCACTTGGTTTTTATGGCTAAGCAGGGATTTAAACTTTGGTCTCCAAAATCATATTTCTGCATTGAGGCCTCTTCCACACAGCTTAATAACATTCCACATTATCTGCTTTGAACTGAAATCTATGGCAGTGTGGACTGAGATATTCCAGTTCCAAGCAGATATTGTGCGTTATTCTGCCTTGATATTCTGGGTTATATGTCTGTGTGGAAGGGCCCCCAGACCACTACACCACAATGGATATCTCCACCCCTGGGAACCTTCCACACAACCATATAACCCAGACTATCAAGGCAGAAAATCCACAATATCTGTTTTGAACTGGGTTATCTGAGTCCCCACTGCCATATATTCCAATTCAAAGCAGATATTGTGGAATTTTTCTGCCTTGATATTCTGGGTTATATGGCTGTGTGGAAGGGCCCTCTGAGGCCCCTTCCACACAGCTGAATAAAATCCCACACTATTTGCTTTGAACTGGAATATATGGCAGTGTGGACTCAGGTAACCCAGTTCAAAGCAGATATTGTGGAATTTTCTGACTTGATATTCTGAGTCATATGACTGTGTGGAAGGGCCCTTTGTTGCTCAGGCACAATTGTGATAACTGAAGCTACTACACATTCCCCTTTCCATTCAAGTTTTAAAGGCAAATCAGCTGCCACATATAGGAAATTTTGCTTCCTAGCGCACTGTCCTCAACCATTATTGGCAAACTGCCTCTTTGCTTAGCCATTCTTCTTTACTCACTCCTTGTTACAACTTTTTTTCAAAATGCCTTCCCTCCACCTATCCTTCCACTTGGCTTTTCTTTCTAAGTCATTTGTGCCTATTCTGTACTCCTCAAAAGGAAACCTGTGGGAGGAAAGTTGAGAAAAATGTCAACATCACTTTCCTCAACTAATGTCAAGATTGGAGTTCTACATCCTGAGCAGCTGAAATGTTTGTTAGCATTACATCCTAGCCAAACAGTGCCAAAGACTTAGAATCATAGAATCTTAGAGTTGGAAGAGACCATGCGGGTCATCTAGTCCAACCCCCTGCCATGAAGGAGAAGCCAAAGTACCCCTGACAGATGGCCATCCACATCCAGCCTCTGTTTAAAAGCTTCTAAAGAAGGAGCTTTCACAACACTCTGAGACAGTGAGTTCCACCACTAAACTTCACATCTACATACAGAGCAAAATAAATATTGATCATTTCAGATTTTTTTCCTATGTGCATTAATTTATTGAATATTACTTTGTTTTTAAAATACGTGTAATCAAAGGGCCTGGGAACTGTATGCAGAATAATACAATATTTCTATTCAATAACAGAACATTTGCACTCTTTAGGGAAGAAAGTAGTAATATGCCATAGATTTTTCTACAATTTTGAGGCGAATAGCTCAGCTTTAAGGAAAGAAACTAGTAGGTTCAAGAAATACAGAAGATATTAGACAGTAATAATTAGTTATGGGGGCTATGAAAAAGCAGCAGAATCAAGAATTCGGAAGTCTCGAAAAGGCTGCTCCTTCATAAGTATTCCATTGCTGATAGCTGCTAGAATCTCCAGACAAATGATCACAACACAGCACCAGGTCACATACTGCTTGACAAAATAGAGTCTTTCTTCCAATTTCTTGTGACAACCATCCTTAAAGAGTTTCTCTGGCTGGCTCAGATCACCACGGCAATCTAAATAAGCCTCTCTGCAACAGCTTTTTGGAGCAAAACCATGTCCTATCTGGAGATGGTTTGGAAGCATCATCATCCAGTCAGTGTAATTGGAGATTCCACAACATTTCAACTTCTTATGGGTGGCATCCACAGATACTGTGTCTCTATAGTTTGGAGCAGTCCAGTTGTACTTGTGAAAGAATGGGTCCATCTTGTTTTTTAGTTGAGACTCCACTTTCGCTGAATAGATTTGTGTCATGACCACCGAAGAGGCTCCCAAACAAAAAATGACCAAGAACAAGTACATTAAAATCCCTTGGAGGTGGCGTGAATTCTTTACTGGGACACACATTGCCAGAGTCCCAGTTGGCAACAGCAAAATGGCAGAAACCACTGCCAACCAGCCTGGCAGAGGAAAGAACTTGTTCTGAAAGAAGAATCGGTAGCTCTGGTAGGTGAAGATCACAAATGCACCACCAAACAAAAGACCTATAGCAGCTCCACAAAGAAGAAAGCCAAGGAGGGTCAAAGCAACTTTAGCCAAGCCTCTGCTCCAGGATTCGGTTGCACACAACAGCAAAGGACTGTGGTCAGGGTTAAAGTGTGCCCCAGCCATCTTAGAAGTGATCTTGGATTACAACCCTGTGAGACCAACAAAATAAAACCTCTCTCCCCAGCCTTTCAATTTTTTTAAATCCAGGTGGAGGTGATATGCAAGCTCCTTTCCAGTTCCTTCCCTAATTAAAGAAGAACAAACACTCCTACCAATTTGGATTGTTGAGATCCTCATCCTTCAAAAGCTTATGGGTGAATGTTAATTGGGGACATGCATAAGAGCACTGAAAATATTCACAAGAGACCCATCTTTTGGGTTTCAGATCCCACAAGCCCTTAGCTAGAAGACAAGAAGTACCAGAATTCTCAGCCAGAATAAATAGTGGCCATGCTGGCTGAAGGATTCTAGGAATGTATGGTCTGAAACCAAAGAGACTGCTTGGTCATCTATCTATTGTAACTGGCAAGATTCTTCCAGGGTTTGAGGCAGCGGTCTTTCATATCACATCAGATATTTTCCTCTCTGGAATAATTTGTTAGAAATTCAGCAAGAGACAAGAAGTCCTTCTCCTAGTCCACATACAGCAGACATGGGCAAACTTCACCCCTCCAGGTTTTTTGGACTTCAACTCCTAGAAATCCAAGCCAATTTACAGGCTGTTAGGAATTGTAGGAGTTGAAGTCCAAAACATCTGAAGAGCCGAATTTTGCCCATGCCTGATATACAGCCACGGATTGGATCTCAGTTTTTATATGTTGTCCTGGGAAGAGGACAACATACAAAAATTGGGGTTCACCTACTTTAGGTAGCACAAGAAAGCCTGTGTGACAACCCATCACCAACATGCCACCACAACTGTGCACCCTCAGCATGTGCCACCTAAGGCATCGCCTCTAATGGCCCCACGCTGCTGTATTCTGAAGGCAACCAAACCCTCTAGGAGCCACTGGTCTTCAATCTAAAACCTTCCTAGGGGAAATCAAATGCATTTTCACTTAACTGTAATTCCATGCCTTCTACCTCACTGCAGCAGAACTGAATAAGTCATTGCATGATGAGGACTGGATTTGTTAGATAGCTCTTCAATTGGCTTATCTCACTGAACTTGTGGTCTGAAAAACCTGTGAATAGATGGCATTACCAGCTGATCAGAAAAAATAGTTTCTTAGCCTGGCCTGCTCTTCAGCAGAAACTACTGAGTAGAAGGTGAGGCTTTTCAAAGTTCGGAGCTAATCATTCTCTGATCATACTGTCCCACTCACCAGCTCTTAAAGACCCAACTACAGCAACTGTCTCAAAGGTGAGCAGCAACTCTACAACTCAGGCCAATAAAACATGGAGTTAGAAATGAAACAGTAGGCTGTGTTTGTAGAAATTGGTGTATATTAAATGCTAGACTGAAGAGTGCTATTTTTTCTTCAGGAATGTATTGTTGACGTCTTTCATGGCCGGAATCACTGGAATGTTGTAGGTTTTGGGGGCTGTATGGCCATGTTCTAGAACAGTGGTTCTCAACCTGTGGGTCCCCAGGTGCTTTGGCCTACATTTCCCAGAAATCCCAGCAAGTTTACCAGCTGTTAGGATTTATGGGAGTTGAAGGCCAAAACATCTGGGGACCCACAGGTTGAGAACCACTGTTCTAGAAGCATTCTCCCCTGATGTTTTGCCTGCCACAGATGCAGGTGAAAAATCAGGGGAGAATGCTTCTAGAACATGGCCATACAGCCCAAAAAACCTACAACAATCTAATGGCCATCTATTTTGCAATATACAGCCCCAAACACTTACAGCAACCCATTTCCAAATAGATGGCAGAATGCACAGCCAGAAAGGAAATGCTGATCCACTAAATAGTTATACAATATAAAACAGATAGAAAAAGTAACATTTAAGCAATGCATTGTCCAAAGCTTTAATATTTAACATTTAAGCAATTATGTAAAATCATATTAACATAATATACATATGATAATTTATACAGGGAAAAACAGATATTACTTATGAGTCTGAATTACAAAATTTGGCAGCAGAAAGAAAACAAATAATTATAATTTCTGTTATAGTGTAAATCAAGTAGCAATCAGAAGATCTGGGATTTTTTTAAAGAGATGTGTAAGATGCCTTCACTCATCTCCAGAAAATATTACTAAAGAAAACCACATAAAATGAGAGTCCTTACCTAATGTGCTGTTCTAGTGTTGTGCTGGTTTATGCTTTTAAATCAACGTTTATATGGTTTTAATTCTACTGAGAGTTCAATATTTTAATTTAAACATTTCATGTGTTTTATCTGTATGTGGTTTTACTATATTTTGAATACTGCCTTGAGTCCAACTGTTGAAATAAATGTATATATATAAAGCAATTGATTGAGTCTCACATGTTTATCTACAGATAACTATTTAGGTATTTTTATATCCAACTATTGTATTCCCAAGTGGCATACATCAACCAAATCACAACAATCACGACAATATAACACAGAAACAAAACTACACGAATCTTTGCCACAGGGGATGGAGGTTGGTAAAGGATGATCTTTCCCAAAACTTAAATGTTATTATTTCTCAGCAGCATCTATTTTAGTTTATCAGGATGTATAAAAATCTTTTTTTATGTGCTACTTTGTTTTGACTGCATCAATCAGTGACTATCTTCATTTTGTTGTGACTCTCATCCCCTTCTCAGTTCTGAAATAATGTCCCTTCTGTTTGAACAAAATTGCCAACTGACCAGAAAAACAGCAGATCCCCCTACTCTTGTGCCTTTGAAAATAATGGGAGCTAGAGACATGGGAGCTAATGAAGCTTTTCATAACATGGGAGAGAAGCATTCTCATTTGGCTAATATCTGAGGATCAACCAGCCATCAAAGACTCCAGGTCAATGTAAAAATACTATCTATGATGAAGTATACTACTCTTTTTCTCTTTCACACTCAACCAACTGCTTTTCTTTCTCCTTTCTTTCACCAACAGCATGTAGTACAGCAGAAAACACCTTCAGTTTATACTAAACAGACTGCACTTGAGAAAACTACATTGTTGTTTCTTTTTCTTCTGTTTCTCCCTCGTCCCCCATCCTCATAAAACCTAATGAGATATTAACATTTGAGTTATACAGTGCTTGATATAGTAAGCTTATTCTGCATGCTTTGAAAGTCATTCAGTGGCTGGAAAGGTCTCCTGAGGAATATTACAGCACTCGGAGCCGTTCGAGTTGTGAGCACACTTGCTGCTCTCTGAATGGACACAAGGGAATTTCAGCTATTATGGAAGCCGGGAGGCACCTGTCTTTCTAAATATTTCCTGATTCATAATTAGCCCTTCCTTCAGACTTAGACCTTGTGAAAGTATGCCATGGAGAGGTGATTTCTCATTACACCACCAAAAATATCTCCCAGTTCTTTCAGTTTTTGTCTCAGCACTGGAAAATGGATCAAGGGGCTCTGTTGAAATGGAACAATGCAGCTGGAGGCAGTTTTGGACTCTTATTTGGGGACGTGGTTACAGAGACTATCATGAAGACCATCTGCTCTTCACAATGCATGGCTGAACCATTGGGTATTGCAAGATGTTGCTCCATGTCCTATTTTGGAATCAGCAGCATCTGGCATGTTAATTTTGGGTTTTAAAATATTGGATGAACATGCTATGTCACTACATTCACACTATAGCTGATGGTGGATACATACACACACATTAGGGTGAGCATCTCTTCAATTGTGCAATTGGGCCAATTTATGGCCAGCAAACATGCTTTTAAACTCATTTTCCTGCACTACTACAGTTTCTTTTTTATTTATTTTTAGAACAATATAACTATAAAATATAAAATAATGGAAAACAGGAGAAAAGAGGGGAAAAGAAGCAAACTGAAGAGATGATGAATGTTTCCTCAGGCATCGCTTTAGTGCCAGCATACTGGCACAGAAACAGAAGGGGCCCCTTGCATCAAGTTTGGTGATGGGAACATTGTAGGATTGTGAGCTATCAGGGAACAAAAGCCCTGACAAAGAAACTCATGTTAACAAAAATGTTTACACTTTCCAGCTTTTCCCTACGACAACCAAAATAAACAGCAACTGCTTACAAATTCTTGACTGAGTGCGTGCAGACAGTAGAATAGAGAGAAATGGAAAAATGCAATTTAGCTGCCACAACTGGTAGTCACGACATGGTAAGAATCATAGATTGATAAGTTTGGGCACGAAAACGAAACTCATAAGAAGGAAATGTGAATGGTGATAAAAAAGTAATCTCTGAATGCATTTCTGAAGAACTTTTCAAGTAGTCTCTAGAAAGTTCAAGCTCTTTACCTATGCTTATAGCTCTGATCCTGTTGTTTCATTCCAAGCTAAAAACTTGGACCAAGTGTTCGGTTAATAATCTACCAGTGCAATAAGAGAACATAGAAAAGTACAATGACAATCTAGAATGGCCATGGACGACAATATTGAATTGTGTGATTTGAAATAAGTGGTTTTTGATGTTTGATATGCTTTTAATGCATTTGTTTATTTTGTTGATATATGTTTTTATGGCATTGAATTGCTGTCTCTCTCTCTATATGTGAGCCACCCTGAGTCCCCTATGTTGGAGCATGTAAGAAATCAGATAGTGTGTGTATCAACTGTAAAATAAGATGCAAGATGCTGATCGGTTGGGCTATGCCCAGGGAGCAAGCTGAGCCTGGGACTTTTGGATGCTGTTACATTTTTCAGGCTTGAGCTATGCAGGTATTCAGAGAGAAGCAGAGAAACAGAGGGAGATTGGAGTGTGGTCTCGCTTCATGAGCTGCTGAAGGAGTTTATCCACCTGGACAAAGAAAGACAATTTTAAATCTCTCATGAAAGGACAGTATGTGAGTCGATACAACTGATCACATTGTACCTATATTGTTCTGAATTACAAAGAGTAAACTACTTGTTTTTTATTGTTCATCTGCATGGCATATTTTCTTTCTCTGGCAAGGCAGTGTGTGGGCTGATCAAATGTGAACTACATGTGGTTTATTTTACATTACGACACACCCTACTGGGTGAGAAGGAGGGGACATATATATGGA